ACATCGGCGAGATTGATTGGGTGGCTTCCCGCATTTCTCAAGCGAGGCTGGTTACAAGGTTCTTCAAGCGCCATGGACATGCGAGAGAGGTTCTTGAGGCGCACTCGACGAAGACTCTTCTGCTACCGGCGGAAACGCGTTTCGGCACGAACGTCATCATGATGGAGAGGCTGGTCGCACTGCGGGCCGCATTGACAGATGTTGTGGCCGACGATCGCTGGCGCGAGACTGTTTGGTCGACCAGCAAGATCCGCAAGGATGCAGCGGAGGTCACTGCATGTATCGGCTCCCCTCCATGGTGGGAGGATTTAAGAGCTCTGTGCAAGATGCTAGAGCCCATCATAGGCATGCTAAAGTTGGTGGACAGAGACACACGCCAGATCAGCAAGATTCTGCTATGTTACGAGGAAATGATTGCATCTTGTTTATCCGCATGTCGTGACATTAATCGGGAGCAGTAGGACGCTATTGTGGAGGTGTTCCACAGGCGGCGCACCATGTTCAAGACCCCCGCCCACACGGCAGCCATGCTGCTAGATCCAGAGTTCCGGGACGCGACGCTTTGTGACGATGCGGAGGTGCAGCAGGCCTTGGTCGAGGCCCTTGTCCAATTCGGCTACCCGGAGGATTCGCCGCAGCACCGGGACGTCCAACGAGCGGTCGCCAAGCTCCACACGAGGGAGCCCCCTTTCGATGAGCTCACCATGCAGCGAGCTGCGGATATCTTTGATCACCCTGCCCGTTTTTGGTCCTCAAAGAAGTTCCCTCACACGGCCGTGTTTGCAAGCAGGATCCTTCGTATATGGGCGACCGCCTCACCGTGCGAGAGAGCGTGGTCTCGTTGGAGCTTCATTCATTCGAAGTCTCGCAACAGGTTGGAGGTTCCCCCGGCTGAGAAGCTTGTGCGGTGCCACTGGAACCTCAGGCTACTCGATCGACCTTCATTGTGCGACGATGGTGTTGGAGAGAGGCCCGGCGTCTTCGGGAAATGGGTGCATTATTGGCAGGCCGTGGAGGACGAGGCAGCCATGGACCAGCAGCTCGTCAAAGGCACCGGTGTTCTGGCGAAGGTGACCGAGGAGTTGAGCCTCGCCAGAGAGAGGATGCGCGCCATTTCCCGCATGGGAGCCGAGCGTCGGGTGGCGGAGTCGGACAGGAGGCGACACAGGGCTGGTGGTCGGGGATGAGGCGGCCGTGGACGAGCAGGTGTCGGAGGACGTACACGTGGTGATGCGGGTTCCGCTCCTCGGACTCGGCGACAGTGGACGGATGGTGGCATTCGCAGGGCCCGCATGCGTTGTCGACGACGAGGATTTCTTTGCGTCGGGAACACATGCATCCACGGGTGATGATAGAGGTGACGCTGACGACAGAGGCGATGACAGAGGCGACGGTGATGACAGAGGTGATGGCGCAGGGCCCGGGGGAGGGGGAGGGGGAGGTGGAGGTGATGGAGCAGG